TTGTATAACTTGCTAAGAGAGTAGAACTCGAGTGTTCTCACCAAACAATAACAAAAAAAAGGGTGAATGTGTGAGGTGACTGACATATTAATTAGCTCAGTGGGGGAATTTTTTCATAATGTGTATATATATTGTATCAAATCAGCATATTATGTTTTAAATATCTTGAGTGAGTGAGTGAAAGTTGCTCAGTTGTGTCTGACTCTTTGTGACCACATGGACTATACAGTCCATGGAATTCTTCAGGCCACAATATTGGAGTGGGTAGCCATTCCCTTCTCTAGGGGATCTTCCCAACCCAGGGATCAAACCCAAGTCTCCCACATTGCAGGTGAATTCTTTACCAACTGAGCCACAAGGGAAGCCCTACAACTTTATTTTTCGACTATACCTCATAAAGCTGGAAAAGAGAAAGGATTTTAACTAATGAAGGCAGGTTGGACCCCTTGCCCACACTTTGGCAAAAGGATTCCAGCTCTCACTAGGACCACTTAGTGTGGTGAATGAGGAGATCAGGTTTCAGAAGAGATGTGATGTATTTCCTGGAACAGAGGAGAAAATAGCTCAGGTAGACAAACAGTTGAGGGCATTCCCGATGGCTCAGGGGGTAAAGAATCCACCTGCAATGCAGAAGACACAGGAGACGTGGGCTCAATCCCTGGATTGGGAAGATCAACTGGAGGAGGAAAATGGCAACACACTCCAGTATTCTTCCTAAAAAAATCCCATGGACAGAGGACCCTGGTGGGCTACAATCCAAAGGGCCCCAAAGAGTTGGAAATGACTAAGCGTGGTATGGGATGGCAGACAAACAGTTGACGCCAAAGACCATTCATATTGTCACCGTCATCATCAATACCATTACAGGATTCAGTTTCTTTAAATACCTCATTGGAGGTATTTCATTGGAGTCTGAGGGTCCTCGGCCAATTCCAATGGCAATTGACAAAAGAAAGTTTAAATAGGAGTTAAAAACAAACAAACAAACAAACAAAAACGCCTCAGTATTACTTAAGATCAGAATTCTATGGCCACTCTAATTCCTCAGGGAAGAACATTTTGACATCCAACACTCTGAGCCTATGGTCAAGTGCATCTGTTGTCATTAAGATCTCCCTAAAGTTTACTTAAATTCATTTAAGTTATAGATATTTCTATATGAATGCTTTCTACATGGTGGCAAAAACTTTTAAATCAAATTTATAAGTATATTTGTTTCATTCTTTGTAATTATGTCCTTTTGACCAAAAGTATTACATTTTTCTCTAAACTAGGTAAAATTTAATGCAAAAATAAAGGAAGCTGCTGATTATTTTGTTTATACTTTTCAAAAGTTATCTTTCAGGAGACTTTTGCAGTGATTATTCAGTTTCTTCTCTCTTCTCATATGGTTTCCATTTAGAGTCAATTATGTTGCAAACAACTCTTTTAATTTTTTTGTTTATTTATTATTTTTGGTGTGTTTTGCTCAGAAAAATGAGCAGATCTCCCCTCTCCCCTGTAGCTATAAGATTCTTATTAGTATTAATCAGACACATGAAATAGAGCTGGGAGTCAAACCCTTAAGCTAGGATTTCTTGAAATGGTTGGTGGGTCTCCCTTCAAGTAGGAAGAGTGAATCTTTGTATTTAAGGAATTTAAGGAATGTTGATAACTTGACTAGCAGAACTTTCTAGACTATTAATATTGGAACCAAAGTTTTCCCTGAATTTACCACTATTGCTGTGTAGACAGAGAAGGAGCCATGCCCTCTTGCCATTTGTATATCTTTTTAAGAGATACAGAATCTCAAGATTTCAGTAGTAAACAGGCGAGAGAATTGTTCATAGATCTGTATGGTTTTGGAAGCCATCATGACAAAAGTTAAGTTCATTTATATTTTTATTGAAAAGTTTGGAATAATAATTTCAATAATTCCTTTTCTCTTTGCCTAGAAAATTGTGAGGAGCTCTGGGGTTTACATAGCTGGATAGTCCTATTTTCATTAAATATTAACTAACAAGTGGCATTGGTAAAGAACCTACCTGCCAATGCAGGAGACATAAGTGACACGGGTCCCATCGCTGGGTTGGGAAGATCTCCTCGAGTTGGAAATGGCAACCCACTCTAGTATTCTTACCTGCAGAATTCCCATGGACAGAGGAGCGGGCTACAGTCCATAGGGTCGCAAAGAGTCGGACGTGACTGAAGTGACTTAGTACACACACAACAGTGTCAAAGTTGAGTATCCACAGAAGACAGTACAAAATCATTTACAAAGCAGTGGTGTCTGTTTTGTCAAAATGATGAACAGAAATGGGACTGGGTGTTCAGTAGAGAAGATCCCCATGGGATCACTTCTTGAAGGCAAAGGAGCTTCAGTAAGTTTTTAAGACTGAAGAGCAGAATACAGGAGATGATATTTTAATTGATAGGTGAGAAGCACATTATCTATTTCTTGGCAGAGTGAGTCGGTTCATCAGGTTGGAGCAGAAGACTTACATAAGGGACTTGTGGGATAAGGCTCTAATTATTTCTTAGTTTACATTATGGTTCATAGTTTGCGTTGCTCTGTGGGCTTCAACAAATATATAATGGCATGTATCCATCCTTAAAGTATCACACAGAAGAATTTACAGCCCTATAAATCTCCCGTGCTCCCTAGGGAATGAGTTTTAATTCTCATTTTTCACAAGGAACTTTCCTGAACATTGTCATGACCTATGTCTGAAAAGCTCTATTGAACAATATAAACAAAAATAAAAAGATTATCCCAATAATACGGGCCATGAAGGAAAGGATTGATTTCAGTTATATTCCTAATTTGGCTTTGGTGTGACTTTATATCCATCAGCTGATTTTCTTTTTAAGAAGTAGATTTTTCTTCAATATACTACCTGGTAAGTTAGAAAATTTAGATTTAAGTGAAAATGACTAATAAACTCACCTTCCATTGGCAAGCTGACATTTTTAGTGTACATTTTTTTCTATTTTCTGCTTTCTGTGCATGCATTACTTTTATTAAAAATAAATGGGACATATTATTTTATATCCTCCTTTTTTTCAGTCAGTACATAATGAATCCTGTAATTCAGTGTTCTGGTACATTGTGCTTTTTAATAACTATATAATAATGCATGTGGGCTTCTCAGGTGGCTCAGTAAAGAACCCACCTGCCAATTCAGGTGATGCAGAAAACTGGAGTTTGATCCCTGCACTGGGAAGAGCCCCTGGAGAAGAAAATGGCAACCCATTCCAGTATTCTTGCCACGATAATGTCATGGACAGAGGAGCCTGACTGGCTACAGTCCATGGGGTCACAAAGAGTTGGACATGACTGAGCAGGCACACACACAATAATCTACTGTTTGAGTTACAGATCTCTTACATTTGTGGGTTATCATAATATAGTCATTATGAAATGTAGGAGTTTTGCTTTTTATTATATGTGAAGAGCTAAGAATCAAACAGATAGGAGGATGTCATTTAATGGAAAGAACTTGAATTTGATCAGGAGACTTAGGCTTAATTCAACCTCTGACTTCATTTAGTTATCTAATCTTGAGTTTTGTTATTTATTCTTTCTGAATCTTGGTTTCCTTGCCTTTAAAAGCTAAGGGTTACTTTATTATTTTGTAACTGTGAGTTTTCTAGGATGTCATAGCAAATGAACAAAGCATGTCTAAATTCTTTAATTAAAATTGCATAACTGACAGTAGTCTTGTCTCTGTCTTTTTCAGTCTCTCTTCTTCTCTTTAATCTCAGGCACATCACATAGATTTAAATTAATTACAATCTTTGGTTAATAACAAATTTACACCATTGGCCCATAAATGACCCCCTATAACTCCTTTTTTTTTGGTGCTAATATTTTATATGAGTCATCTGTGAATTCTCCACTCACACAGTAGACTAGTGTCTGCTAGTCAGAATCTACTAGTCAAGGATGTTTACTAAACAAAAAAATGTCTTCTAGTCACAATCTAAATTGTCATTTTAAAATGTAAATGTCATCTGTCTCATTCACCATTATGTCTCTAGCACCTACTATAGTGTGTGGCATGTACTGTTTCTCAGACAATATATGTTTCTTGATTGAAAGGCCTTCACATGGACCCATTTCCTGGATGAAACTTTACTGATAGAAGAGACACTATTGTCAATGCTTGCTAAAGTGTGAACATTAACAAAAGAGACAGGCAATTAATATAAACTTATACTGTTGAAGTTGGTAATGACTGTAACTGGAGGATAAAGCAGACATATTTACTAGGGAAAGATAGGCAGCAGCAAATGACTGAACAAAAACCTTATTAAATGGTACTTAAGAAAAAACAAAAATTAGCAAAACTCACACTGCATATTGTGATGAAAACACAATGCTTGGAACATAGCACCTTCAAGAAATGCATACCTTTGTCCCTGTAATAACAGGGGGATAGGAGAGGAAAATCCAAATAGTGTCACTTTTCAAATGAAGATAAGAAACTCAGAAGAGTTACGTGACCTCTCAAGGTCCCACAGCTACTAAGTGGAACCTCTAGGATTCACACTGTATCTTCTTGACCATGAAGGTATGAGCCTTAAATGTGTGATGAGAAATTGTCTGAAAATGGTATTAGAAGTCTTCAGAAAATGTGAGAAAAGATCCCTTCTGAAATACCTTTATTATTCGAACTGTTTCCCAATCAAGGAAGTAGACTTCCACTTTAGGAAACCATATGGAGAAGGCATTACTAAACTCTCAAAATTTTACCCTTTCTTGTTCTTTCGTCTGATGCTTCATGGCCACAGAATACCTTGGCTATCCCTGTATTGCATGCATGTAAGCCAGAAGATGAACTCCATTAGCATTAATGTTTTGCAAAAGTCTTTTTTCTCCATCTTGACTTGATGTTTCTACTTTACTCTTCCTGGTGGGAACTGCCATTTGCAGCGGATTTCCTCTTCTCCCTGGAATGAGTAGATAATATCTGACTTGCACTGCCAGTGTACTTGATACGATCTTTATGCTGTTACAGAATTATAGTAGAGGACACAGTGGATTGGCGACCCCATGACAAGATTGTCCTCAGCTCCTCTTCGTATGAACCTCACGAAGCAGAGGTCCTCACTGTGAAAGAAGTCAGGGGCCACCATATTAGGATCCATGAACGGCTCAGACACCGACACATCGGTAAGGCTTTGGTTTGTTAGTTAAGGGAAGTGAATGAGCCAAGACAAACGTGTTCAGCAACCTGCCTGGGGACCTTGGATCCAACCGGCGTTCAGAGGGGATGGATAATACTTTGCCGTTGCCCTAGGCTCATCCTAGAAGGCTTTATCTCCATCCCTTCATTAATTTTATTGCCTAATTTTTAAAAAAAAAATACTTTGATGTGAGGGTATTTTTTTAACTTTTTTATTTATAATGGCAAGCCTAGAAGCAAGCAGAAGGGTTAAGAAACTTGTTCAAGGTCACCGGGCATTTTCATGGCTAAGCCAGAATAAACCTCATGGGAGATGAATTTCCAGTTCATTTCCTGGCACATTGAATCACACAACCACTTAGAATGTGGCAGTTATTGTAAATAATGACTCCTTACTTTTTCCATACTTAGGAATGTGTCCTTTCTGACATGAAGTTCATTTTATGTATTGACTACTGCTACTGCCCCAAATTATAAATAAATAAAGTCAAATACCTCTTTCTTTAAAAAAAAAAGTACTGAATATTTTAATACACTATATATGCTTAAAATACATTGCATGTAAATAATAAATAACCATGCTTCCTGGTCCAGTCTAATAACTGCATTTAACCCAGGAAATGTAGCTAATAAGTAATATAACAGGGAAATAAAGGGATAAGGGGTTATCTTTTTATTCTCTGATATTTGAGAGGGAAATACATGTTTTCAGCAGGGTCATATCTAAAGCTTTCTAAGTCATAGCTTTAAGGATGATTTTATTTCTAAACAGTGGCAGGGAAAAGAAAACTCGTCACCAATCCCTAGCTGTAATATGCAGACGTGCAATACAAATACAAGGGGAGAGGGGGCGATGTAACAAACATGCGAGACTGGGGAAGCGCCTTCTGAGAGGGGTGAGCTTCGGACCTGCCAGGAGAGGGCGCTGCCGCCGCCACTTTTGTCCTATCGCTGCCTCAGTGGGTCTGGGCCTCCTCGTTCTGACAGTGCACTACTGAACGCGGAAATCTCACACTGACAAGTTAAAGGAAGGGGCTTGGGGGTCCCACTAATTGGACCGGTCTGCCCTGACATCCCTGTCCCAGTACCCATCGTGACTGAGGAGAAATGAATTCTTGCTCAGATACTCTTACTCTGGTCCCAAGGAGAGACTAGTGAGCCGGCTTTTCATTTCTCAGCTGACATTTGTGGAGAACGCCCGAGGAAAGGCAAACCTTAGTGTTGGGAGGACTTCCGCGGGGAAACGAGTGTTTTCATTTGTCAGGTTCGCTGAGTCCCTAACTGGCGATCTCCGAAATAGGTTTTTTAAAGTTTTTCCTTCCTGTTGCCCCAGGAAGTGCCCACGTCATGGAGGGTGGCCGACGCATTCATTTGGCTGCTGAGGTTGGTCTTTTGACACGAAACATACAAATCCAGGGTGATACATCATGCAGAGGGAGACTACTTGTGGGGTCCTTCAGAAAGTCCAGCGTGGAAGAATTTTCAGGTAAATGAAAATTTAAGTTACTAAGCACTAAGAATTGGATGCTATGAGACCCTCCGAAATTCCAATAGTGGGAATTTTCATCTACAAAACAAAATGTCTGGAATAGATGCTTGTTTATGCTCTGAGAAGCTATGAATTTTCAGTCCTAATCTGTGCTTAATTATCAGTGTGATGTTAAAATAATATTCTAGCTATCAGTACATCGGCACATTTTTACCTCAGAAAGAAAAAAATATATATAAAGAAAAACCACCTTCAGCACATGTGAAATTTCCTCTGCTTTGAAACTGTAGATGATTTAATGACCACTTGAATTTTATCTCTTTCCTGAATTTCTATTACTCTTTCCCAGTAGCATGCTTTATCTGATGGCAGACCTCATCTCATGCTATAAATTAATAGTGTAAATTTAAACAAGAAGATTTCCATATTCTAGACTGCTCTAGGGATCAGTTCAATTTCTCTCATTTCCTTCAATCTTTAGCTCTTCTGGAATTTTTTTTTTCATTTATTTTTATTAGTTGGAGGCTAATTACTTTACAATATTGTAGTGGTTTTTTGCCATAAATTGACATGAATCAGCCATGGATTTACATGTGTTCCCCATCCTGATCCCCCTCCCACCTCCCTGCCCATCCCATCCCTCTGGGTCATCCCAGTGTACCAGTCCTGATCACTTGTCTCATGCATCCAACCTGGACTGGCGATCTGTTTCACACTTGATAATATACATGTTTCGATGTTGTTCTCTCAGATCATCCCACCTTTGCCTTCTTCCATAGAGTCCAAAAGTCTGTTCTGTACCTCTGTGTCTCTTTTTCTGTCTTGCATATAGGGTTATCATTACCATCTTTCTAAATTCCATATATATGCATTAGTATACTGTATTGGTGTTTATCTTTCTGGCTTACTTCACTCTGTATAATGGGCTCCAGTTTCATCCATCTCATTAGAACTGGTTCAAATGTATTCTTTTTAATGGCTGAGTAATATTCCATTGTATATATGTACCATAGCTTTCTTATCCATTCGTCTGCTGATGGGCATCTAGGTTGCTTCCATGTCCTGGTTATTATAAACAGTGCTGTGATGAACATTAAGGTACATGTGTCTCTTTCAGTGTGGAGATTCCTTAAAAAACTGGAAATAGAACTGCCATATGACCCAGCAATCCCACTCCTGGGTACACACACCGAGGAAATCAGAAGTGGAATGTTGTGGAATAATTTTATTGGCACCTTATTTCTGAAACTTGGGTTCCTTAAAAATGATTCCAGTGTTGTTTCCTAGTCAAATAAAGCTCCATCTTAGAAAGTCATTGTCTACATGAATATAATAAAGGCTCTGAGAAGGCCTAGAGTAAAGGATCTAAGCACTTCCCACATATATTGAGCATGGAACAATTTTTGTGGGCACATCTGTTTTCAGTTCAGTCTCTCAGTCATGTCCGACTCTTTGTGACCCCACAGATTGCAGCATGCCAGACTTCCCTCTCCATCACCAACTACCAGAGCTTGCTCAAACTCATGTCCCTCGAGTCAGTGATGTCCATCTCATCCTCTGTCGTTCCCTTCTCCTCCTGCCTTCGATCTTTCCCAGCATTAGGGTCTTTTCTAATGAGTCAGTTCTTCACATCAGGTGGCCAGTATGGTAAAGGATGGTGCTTGGACCTTAAGTTGAAAGTTCAGGATTTCTGGTCCATAGAACAAACTCTCCATAAACACTAGCTCTACCAGTTTCTTTCTTTCTTTTTTGGCTACATGGTGAGGTATAAAGTGAAAGTGTTAGTTGCTCTTAGTCATGTCCGACTCTTTGTGACCCCATGGACTGTAGCCCACCAGGCTCCTTTGTATGCAGGATCTTAGTTCCCTGACCAGGGATTGAACCCTTGTTCCCCCTCCCACTCCCACATTGAAAGCATGGAGTCTTAACTACTGGACTGCCAGGGAAGTCCCCTCTATCAGTTTTTAACAAAAGTCATCTAGATCTCCCTTCTTGGCTAGAGGACATTTGATGGTATCTGGAGACATTTTGCTTGTCACAACTTTGGTGGAGCTTCTGCATCTAGTAGTGGATGCTCAACAGCCTACAATGTGTGAGACAGTCTCCCTCAAGAAAGGATCAGTTCAATTCAGTCACTCAGTTGTGTCTGACTCTTTGTGACCCCATGAATCGCAGCATGCCAGGCTTCCCTGTCCATCACCAACTCCCGGAGTTTACTCAAACTCATCCCATTGAGTAGGTGATGCCATCCAACCATCTCATCCTCTGTCGTCCCTTCTCCTCCTGCCCTCAATCCCTCCCAGCATCAGGGTCTTTTCCAATGAGTCAGCTCTNTCCAGCCCAGCATTTCTCATGATGTACTCTGCATATAAGTTAAATAAGTAGGGTGACCATATAAAGCCTTGACGTACTCCTTTTCCTATTTGGAACCAGTCTGTTGTTCCATGTCCTGGACCAAAATGTCAGTTATGTTGAGGTGGAGTAACCCTGCTCTGGAAGGCTAGACAAAGGCTGAGTCCTGGTCATGGTGGTGGTCATGTAAAAACAAATCTACCCTGCAGCTTGTGAAGACAGAGAATTAGGAAGAGAGTGCAGGACAGGGCCCCTTTACACAGTTACCTGCAGGCCAGGCTAGAACCTGATTGCCAGAGCAGGACAGGAGGCTGGTTCTTAGAGCTGAGCACCAAAGCTGGACCCTCACCGCCTGCAATGCTGACTTGGTTCTGAGCCTCTGGCTTGCTGGTTGGGGCTCCTAAAACATCCCTGGGAAAGGGACAGAGAAGCTTAATCCAGTGCTTCTTATAGACTAGGAACTATGCTGGTTTTCATGCCTGTTTTATCTCATCGAATCCTAATATCCCTGTGAGAGTGACATTTTATCCTCGGTTTTATATGTGAGGAAACAGAGTCTATAATAAAATTGTCTGCTAATTCATAAAACTCCATTATGAGCTTTAGAACTTCTTGAGGGTAAGGCTGAGGTTTTCAGCCCTGTTTTCTCAGTATGGTATTATAACTGCTGTGTATTATGTCCTCAATAAATATGAGTGAGTTAAATAAATGAACAGTAAGAAAAGTCATCTAGCTCGCAAAGTAACACTCAAATTCAAGCCTGATTCTGAAGCAGTTGATAAGCTTTTAATTTTATAATCACTTTAGTTTTGTAAAAAAGTTGCAAAGATGATATGAAGAGTTCCTGTATACTTTTCATTCTGATTTCCCTAACTTGAAAATCTACTATAACTATGGTACGTTTGTGACAGCCATTAAACTAACCTTACTGCATTAGTGTTAACTGAACTTAAGACATTCTTCCAGATTCCACATGTCTTCCCACTAAGGTCCTTTTTCTGTTTCAGAATCCAGTACAGATCCCCATATTGTATTAAGAACCCTTACACTTTTCTGTAACATATTCCAGAGCCTGGATGATGTAGGACCTACAGGTGTGGGTCAAGGACACCACTACAGTGTTGAATGGTTACAGGGCAGAAAAGCAGGCCAGCGATTAACAATCCCTACTTTTAAATCAGGTTCTTCTGTCATTCCCCTCCTTCTGACCAGTAATACCCAACAAGTTATGCTCAGAATTATGATAAACAAGAAGAAAAAATAGGAAAACAGTTGTGAACAAAATCATTGCTTAATTCTCCATCTGAATGCTCAGATATTTTAAGTATTTACTACTGATTAGTACTCTTACCTGGAAAATCCCATGAACAGAGGAGCCTGGTGGGCTGCAGTCCACGGGGTCGCTGGGAGTCGGACACAACTGAGTGATTTCACTTTCACTTTTCACTTTCACGCGTTGGAGAAGGAAATGGCAACCCGCTCCGGTGTTCTTGCCTGGAGAATCCCAGGGACGGGGGAGCCTGGTGGGCTGCTGTCTATGGGGTCACACAGAGTCAGACATGACTGAAGTGACTTAGCAGCAACAGCAGTTTTCAATTGTTGAATAATATGCACAGAGGTAAAAAGATCTTGTACAATTTAAAACTATGAATTAAAACTGTGCAAGGATGACAGAAAAAAACACACTAAGTAAAACAATAATGATACATTGCCTTGAATGAGATTCTAGAACTATTTTCCAGTCTGTAAACTAAGCTTCTACATGTGGACATGATGTGCTTTGGGCCAAAGTTCTCAGAAGCAAGTTCCATGATCATTTTAGCTATGTGCTGCTTGCAAGGGTTGCTTCAAATTACATTGAAAAGTGGTATCATGCTATAAATAATTTGTAAATGTTTTCTCATTCTGTGAATATTTCCATACCATCAACTAGTGTCTCTTTAACCAGCATCCTCTGAGAAATCTAGATATAGTGGAATCCTGTTTGACCATTCAGAAAGACACACAGACTTCATTTGTCCTCACAGTAGTTTGGTTTTGCAATTGATTGATTTTTTTTCATCTATGAAAAGGGAGTGGGGAAGGTGGAGGATTAAGACTGGACTATACTTCCCTGGTAGCTCAGGCGGTAAAGCGTCTGCCTACAATGTGGGATACCTGGGTTCAATCCCTGGGTTGGGAAGATCCTCTGGAGAAGGAAATGGCAACCCACTCTAGTACTCTTGCCTGGAAAATCCCATGGATGGAGGAGCATGGTAGGCTACAGGCCATGAGGTCGCGAAGAGTCCGACACGACTGAGCGACGTCACATCTCTGTGCTTTAAATACTAAAACACCACAATTCCCTCCCTTTTTAGTGAGGGAAATAACTTTATAGTTTACCTTGGGCAGTAACTTTAAAAAAAAAGAATAAAGGAAAAAAGGGAGGTCTACCTAGCTAAAGACATATGTTGTCTCTTCTCTTAGAACAGGGCTGTACCCCAGTCGTGGGAATCTCAGTGCAAAGCTGTTTGTTTTACTCTACCGTGGAGCGCGCACTCCCCACTTAGCCTGTGTGGGGGTAACAGTACATCTGCACCACATGCCCAGGTCCAAGTCGAGTGCGCTCCAAGCCCTTCTCTGCCTCAGGGGGCAGTGGGGATATCCCCTCACGTGGGGATAACTACATCTATCACATAGGACTTGTAAAGAAATTAAGAGTGTGTATATCACACACATATACATTTATGCCTGGTATATAATTAGTGCTGTATTAGAGTTAGATGTTATGTTTATTAATTCACCTCATTTCCCCCATATTCATGTTATTATCTATTTTATCAAGCGCCTATACACTGACAAATTAGTGTTCATTATATTTTCAAATCAGTCTAGTGGCTATATTTTATATTGTATTTTGTTGTATACTGTATTTTAATAATATCTGCTTAAAACAGAACCAATAAAATCTCCAATAAGGCTAAATAATTCACTATCCTCTCCTGACATAAAAAAATGTAGAAAATCCTCTTATTGTGAAAAGGAAACAGGAAATATAATGTGGCTAGGATAACAATACAGGAAAAGAAAATTAAGAGTCTTTAAGGTCACTTAAAAATATATTATTGGTTGTATCGTGTCTTCATCAAAAAGAATGTTATATTTCTGGACATCTATTGAGCGGAAATTTTGTACTTACACTCTTCTTTAAAAATGATTAAGATGTTGTATATATTTAGCCATTATTTTCTTTCATATAATATCTCTGTGGGTAAGGCTGTGACCTTTTCACATGGGGTCACTGAAAAGAGACATGACTTTGGGGTGAGTGGCCAGGAAGCCATATTCCCTTCATTCTTAGCTGGTTCCTTGACCCAATCCTGAAAACGGGTACCCAGAATCTTTAAGCTGGCTGTGCCCACCCCCAAAGCCTCTCTCCTTCCCCTGTCTTCCTATCATCTTCCTCTCCATCCTGTGACCAGACTCTTAAGAATGTACAGGGAACTTTCCAGGAAGTATTGTGATATTTTTTAATGATTCAGACTTGATGATATAAAATATAACGCTGGTGCTAAAACTAAACTATTATATTTTAATGAAAAATCTGCATGTCCTGAGCCATTGAATGGACCATCCTTCTGATTCTTGAGGGGACAAAATAAATACCTGCTAACATGCATTTTGCTTGCAGGTGCCCTTCAACTTTTCAATGTGGAAATTCAGAACTTTGGGTCGCCGCTGTATTCATCCGTTGAACTCACTAATGTGTCAGCAGGATCCTGGATAATATCTTCTACTCTGCACCAAAGCTGCGGTGGGGGCATCCATGCAGCTGCCAGTCAGGGGATCATTTTAAATGACAATGTGGTGTTTAGCATTGCTGGCCATGGCATTGATCTGGAGGGTCAGGACTATTCTCTCTCTAATAACCTTGTGGTTTTGATGACACAGTCAGCATGGTCTCCTGTTTGGGTGGCAGGAATCAAAGTGAACGAGGCAAAGAACACTCATCTCCATGGCAACGTTGTGGCAGGATCCGAGAGACTTGGTTTTCACATCCAAGGCCACAGGTGTTCCTCTCCTGAATCTCTTTGGTCTGACAACGTGGCCCACTCAAGTCTTCATGGCCTTCATCTCTATAAGGGGAGTGGACTTGACAACTGCACTGGTATCTCTGGCTTCTTGGCTTTCAAGAACTTTGACTATGGTGCTATGCTTCAAGTGGAGAACAACATGGAAATAGAGAACCTCACTCTGGTAGACAATACCGTTGGCCTTTTCACAGCAGTTTATGTGTCTTCTGCTCCACAGTGTTGTATCAGAAATCTACAGATTGTGCTTAGGAATTCAGTCATTGTGGCCACTAGCTCATCTTTTGACTGCATTCAAGACAGAGTTAAACCACATTCTGCCAACTTGACGTCACCTGATCGAGCTCCTTCCAATCCCAGAGGGGGTCGAGTTGGTATTCTGTGGCCGATATTCACCTCAGAACCAAATTGGTGGCCTCAGGAGCCATGGCACAAAGTGAGGAATGGCCATTTGATTTCAGGCATCATGAAACTTCAAGGTGAGAATTTTGGGTTTCCAAGCAATGTAGTCTAATACATCTGTACATAGAACCCATAGAACCTTTAATAATATCTTGAAAGTGTATCACCAAAAGAGTACAGTATAGTTTGGTTCTTGCTGTCCAGTTGATCAGCTACTGGGCGTTGATAACCACAGGGGTGGTTTATTAATATAATGACAGTGAGTGGTTCATTGAGGAACAAAATTGGGTCATTTGTAGAGATGAACCTCGAGCCTGCCATATAGGGTGAAGTAAATAAAAAAAAAGAAAAATATTGTATACTAATACATGTATGTGGGATCTAGAAAAATGGTACAGATAAACCTAGTTCCAGGGCAGGAATAGAGATGCAGAGAATCTCTACTATATAGAGAACGGACTTGTGAACACAGGGTCGGCGAGGGGAGGGTGGGAGATTAGGTTTGACATAAATACACTACTGTGCGTGAAATAGATAGTGGGAACCTGATGTATAGCACAGAGAGCTCAACTCAGTGCTCTGTGATGACCTAGAAGGGTGGGATGGGGTGTGAGTTTCAAGAGGGAGGGTATACATGTGGAGTTGGCTTAGTTGCTGAGTCGTGTCCTACTCTTGTGACCCCATGGACTGTAGCCTGTCAGGCGCCTCTGTCCATGGGATTCTCCTGGCAAGAATACTGGAGTGGGTTGCCATTTCCTACTCTTGGGGATCTTTCTGACCCAGGGATTGAACCTGGAGCTCCTGCATTGCAGGCAGACTCTTGGGAAGAACACACACATACACACACACACATGTTGCTGATTCACTTTACTGTACAGCAGAGACTAACACAAAATTGTAAAGCAATTATATTCCAATAATAAAAAATAGAAAAAATGTCACCTCTCTATACATGTTGAAGAGCTTTCACAGGGAAATATTTAATTTGATTATATGCCTGGTATTGTTTTTCCTATCACACAAAGGAGGAAATTGATACAGGTAGGGTGTGCCTCAGTGAGGTTGTTAAGAATCTGGTGGGAAAAAAAAAAAAAGAATCTGGTGGGGCAGCCAGGATTAAATTCAGTTATACTACAACCTATGCAGAAAATCTCTCTCAGATCTCTTTTGTATTATTGTATTCACTCCCCATTCAATTTTGACCAAAACTCTTATGGAAAGTATTGCTTGTAAGATGTCAGTGTGTTGGAATGCTCTTCTATTTTGCATGCAATGTCCATGCCTTCAACAATTAAAGGTATTTTAAGTCAAGATTTATGGAAACTCCTGGAACTATGCTGGGCAATGACTTAAACTTACTCCTGGGCATTAGTATATGAATATTTAGTTATGTAGTCTGTATTTGTGGCTGGTTGTTTACATGATATACTGTTATAATATTAATACTTTATAAACATTTTTTTTTCAGATGTGACCTTTTCTAGTTTCGTGAAGAGTTGCTATAGTGATGATCTAGATGTTTGTATTCTGCCCAATGCAGAGAACACTGGAATCGTGCCTCCAATAATGGCAGAGAGGACCAGTATGCTAAAGATCAAAGATAAAAACAAGTTCTACTTTCCTCCTTTACAAACCAGGTACCAGTTTTGGTATTTATAGTAAGCCATATTTATGAAGGATTTGGTAATTCTCCAAGTACCTGAATATGTTTTTTAAACAAGGATAAAATCATCAGTGAGATTAGAGAAAAGTCTTTCTAGAAAGATACACTAGATTGATTAGCCCCAGTTCTTTCCCTTCCTATATCCATGCCTTTGAGATATGATTTTTGCAACCTCCGTCACTAAACAGAGACTGTTTCTCACTGCCTTGAATTGGGAATGCACCCTGCTATGTCCTCTGACAGACACAAGAGGCAGAAGTAATGAATTGCAAGTTTTATTGACATTAATTCTTTTATCTTTGTTAGAGAGACTTCTCTGGGATGTTTTTAGAATCACTGGAAAAAACTGACCCTAATTCTCGACTCTTCTGTGGAGTACAGCATCACCAGTCTTCAGGAGGAGGCTTGCGAGCCCTTGTGCAGGGACTGGTGGGGAATGGGACCATGGCTACTGTCAGGAATCCCTGAAATGAATGATATGACTCATATTTATACTCAGACCAGGCCTACTACTACTATTCATGAACAAATGATCTTAGAGTTGCATTGAAAAATCTGAAAACTAGACAAGGAATTGTTTTTTCTCTTTGCCATTAGAGGGAGTGGAAAAGTCAGAAGGAGGGAAAATGGATTACTTTCTCTCTCCTATAACACTGGGGAAACTTTAGTTATAATAAAAGAATCAGGAAATCCCACCTTATATCAGAAAGTTTTTGTGTTTGGTCCAGCACCAGCCTCTTTTTGGTGCTCTTACCTGAACTGTTTTTAGAACCTCAACATTATTAGGTATACAATTTGTGTTATTCTGTCATTTTTTTTTTCTGTTGTCCAGTCTTCTTCATGTTCGTGTCTTACCTATGGGATGAAATAGTTATAAAGCTAAATGATACTAGTATTTGATTCTTTGTTCTATTAATACCTGACACATGGTAGACATGCAATAAATATTTAATATTATTACTAATGGTACCTAAACATATTAGCCCCGAGGAAATTGCATTGATTGTCTATAATTCAGTGTTATAATTGCCAATAACTTGTTTATATACCATGCTTGACTCTAAATTCTTGTGTCTATCTTTATCACCATTGTATTCCCCAATGGCTTTCAGTAGGTTTTCGGTAGATAGTTGTTGAACGTAAATATCTTTTTTTCCAACATTGTATATAGTACAAGTATAATTGATATTTATAATAATAATCTTAAAATACCGCAAGGCCCCAAAGTTCCATAAAGCAATGATTACATTGTGTTTAGTAAATATTAGAAACAAATTTATTTTATCTTTCATTTTAGAAAACTAGTGATCTGTGTTAAGATTATATGACTTGATATCCAGAATATTTAATTAATAAGAATGTCTTTCTTCTTGACCAAATAACTGTGAAATATCTTTTCCTATCATTTTATTTATTATCTATGTACACATTATTAGTAATAAAATTTTGTTGAATTTATTTTTCACAGTGTCAGCACTACCAATGTATGTTTTCTTTTTGCTGCTTATCATGGAAATGAGACAGTTGCTTTCTATCGATATTCACAGGAAAGATTTAGAAACACTGGCCTGCTCTGAATCAGATTGTGAAAGCCCTGGAAAATATCTCTTTAAGGATCTGGATGGGAGAACCCTGGGTCTGCCCCCACCAGTTTCTGTATTTCCTAAAACGGAAGCAGAATGGACTGGATCCTTCTTCAACACAGGTCAGTTAGTTCTATGTGAACTTGACAACTCTAGCAGAGAGAGCGTGAACAGGACTGAGATGGTTTGGTTGTGTGGTCCAGGAGAACAAAATATACTGGAAAAGAACTAAGGTGTAGAGTTGGAGTGTGTGCCAGTGAGCTGCCCAGCTCACCTCTATCTCAGAAATGAAGTGAAGTGAAAGTCACTCAGTCATGTCCGACTCTTTGTGACCCCATGGACTATACAGTCCATGAAATTCTCTAGGCCAAAATACTGGAGAGGGGAGCCTTTCCCTTCTCCAGGGGATCTTCCCAACCCAGGGATCGAACCCAGGGCTCCTGCATTGCAGGCGGATTCTTTACCAGATGAATCGCAAGGGAAGCCCAGGAATATTGGGTGCTTACAGGTGTCACCACACCACTGTTTTGCCCTCCATGAGATTGTCTGTGGTCCATGTCAAAGGTATGATTCCTGACACCCCCCTGTGTACTGGTGAAAAGAACAGTCCTCTCACTAGCTTGGTCACCTGGGCCTGCAGTATTTCACAATGTCTGCCTTGGAAGCCAGTCTTCTGGCTTCTGAATCCAGCTTTATCTTCCATCAGAACTAAATGCTTTCATTCTGGAAAGGGTGGTAGAGTAAATGGCATGTTTTCTTTTTTGCCTTCCCTTTCTCTATCTTCTATTTATCCTTGGGGGTCTGTGATCAAATCCCTTCTTCTTCTTGCTTTTACAACTGAAGCCCATTCGGCTCTCAGTTTTGATTTCTGGACCCCTGGAGAGAGCATCATCTTTCTACTTGTTGTTCTTTCTACTTCCACAAACAATGAGACTTTGAGTTTACATTTTTATTCGGGTGAAAACTACAGCAAATAAATCCAAAAAACAAACATGATTCAGTGGTGATACTCCAATAGGTATTATTACATTATACTCCAATAGGTATTATTACATGTTGCTTACCATCAGTGTGTGGACAAGTTTGAGCATGTGTGTGAGTGTCTGAAGGTAGGATGGACTGCCTTAAACACCTGATGTTTTAAAGCTTTGTAACATTTTAAATGAAGATGCTATAGATTCCAACTGCAGGATTCCTACAATAGTATCTGCTGTTTACCGTGCTACAAGTACAATCTGCATCTTCTTGTCATGAAGGAGACAGCACACAGTAAATGGTGCCTTCTGGGTATGAACAGGATTGGAGTGTTTTTCTGTGACTTCCAAAATAGGAATAGTTCCCTTCTTCTCTAATTCAAGTCCTTTTTCATTTTTTAAACCATTCTGTTATGCTACTTTCCAATTCTTGTCTACAATCTGGTGGAGGATAGAAGGACAAATTTAATTTTAAGAGAGTAAAAATGTATTTTGTATTTTTCCTCTTCACAACAAAAATCTGTGATCATCTATAAAACAGTGGAAACAGTCCAAAAAGATGAAAATGGAGGCTGCTAGAACCAGCTCTTCTCTTTATTCCAAACGGCATTGAGCTGAACACACCTTTTTGACGTTTTTCCATTTTATTAACAAACACTTTGGAGTACATTGCCTTTGAGGTTTATTTTTAATTTGAAAAATAAAGATTTTATTTGCACATAGAAGTTCACATGAAAAATTCAGACAGATATCCACAGGTCCCGACATACTGTCTTATGCTCTGGTGTTGGGAGCAAAAATTATCCATGTGGATCAGCTGTGAGCAATACTGTGCCAGTGGGTTTTGCTATCTATGTAATGCAGGGTGTGTAGCCAGGGGAAAAGTGAGCTGTTAATTTTGTTTTGTACTTATCTGTAAGTTTGCATGTGCAGCCAGTGTTGAAACACACATGGCAACAGAGTGTAAAACAGTTAATCCCAAGCAGAAGAGCCTCTAAAAACCATTTGCATTTTATTCGAGAAAGAATTTCTTTTGAACATGGAGGCATTTGATCATCTGAATATCTAAAATTATTTATAAAAACAGAGGCTTGAAATGAATAACTTCTTTAGGTAGAACTAGACAGGTACTAGAACTTTTTACCCTGTCTTCTGTCTCATTTCCTGTCTTTCCCAGTATACAAACCTCTTGGCCCAATTTGTACATATGGGCTACTGATGTTATTAGGAGTGGGCTGAAAGAAGTTAGAGATTTGGTTCCAAGGGTATTTCACAGTTTCTCAGCCATGATGTAGAAAGTAGAAAGGGGCTGTAATGGTAGCTAGCATTCCTTGAGCACCTTTTGCATGCAGAATGCCGCAGTTGCTATTTTCATTTATTCAGCAAATGCATTTGAGCATGAGTCTACCAGTACCTTTCTAAGGATAGGAACTGTAGTTGTGAATAAGATAACATTCCTGCTTTCATCAAACTTATGTTCCAGTGGAGATATATCCATATACCTCTGCTTTTTTATACATGTCTATCTATAAACAAATTAACAAAATAAATAAAACAAATAAATAAAATAAATAAAACAAAACAAATAAAAATATTCCAATAGTGATGAGAGGTATGAAGAAAATAAAACAGAATTTTGGGCTAGAGAGCTAGTTTCAGGTGTGTGTGTGGCATATGTTGTGTTTGTGTAAGGGAGCTGCTATTAGAGTTAAAATTCCAGTGAGGCCTGAATGAGGAGCAAGGAATCACTGCTTTGAGCAGAGGGAAGAACTTTCTAGAGAGAAGGACCAGCCAGAGCATGGGCTTTGATACCAGAATGGGCCTGACCCCTATATATATAAATTTATAAATATAAATATAAATAAACATAAATATGGCCAGAGTTAATTTAGTAAGATGGTATGGAGGGTTTTTATGGAGGTGGTGCAAGGATTTTATTCACTCTCTGAAAAGATCATGCAAGCTGCTATGGAGTGAATGGATCATGATGGGAGTGAGGTTGGGAGCAGGTGGTGCAGTTAGAAAGCTGGGGGTTAGGGCCCCACAGACGCAAGACTCCATGGTTTTTCCACCATCCTGTGCTGCCCACAGACTGTGCGGGTCCACAGTGAGGTGATGGCAGAAATGTCACATGGAGACAGAGCTACTTGACAGTAATTGTATGTCTGTTGGATCTAATGAGCAAAAATTAGACCTTTCATTGTGTATTCTAATTTGTCTGATAATTTGCATTATATTTTAATGTATTGGTTCCCAATAGACTGGAAATTTTGAAACAAAACCCACCCCGTTCTTCTTGCTCTTATTCTCCTTGTCCTCCTACCTCTTATTTAGGAGGTAAACTTGACATGCTCAGCATAGTGGCTCCTGAAGTTGGCTTAAAATCAGAATCATCTAGAACATTAAACATTCATTTGCATGTGGGAGGAGTTTGAATTGATAGGTATGTGAAGCCCCATCAGGCCTTTATGTTTAACACACACATGCATGTAAACACACAAAAACACACATTTATACACATCTACATACACGTCTACACACACATGCCCACACACACACAGAAGCCCTCCCCAGGTAATTCTGCTGTGCTAAGGTTTGAGAATCACTACTGTAGAGTTGTATACCCCCTTTGAAGTAATTAAACAGGATGTTAAGAAGACAATATTTTTAATTTAAAAAGCAGGCAGTTTCAGTTTCTCATGAAGAATCAAGAATTAGCTTTCTGTGCCAAATACCAGCAGACATAAACATACTTGCTTATTTACACACTGGATATACTTCTGAAAGGAAAAAGAACATTATCTAAGAAGACAGAGAAGTATTTACAATCTAAATTAAGTCTTTGCATAATAAGAATATATTAAATCTTTTTTAAAAATTATATTATTTTTCCTATATTGAAGTGAGTTAAATGACCTCATTGTTGTATCACTTTCACAGTATATCACTGGATAAAAATGGGTTCAATGCTAAGTTTATTTTTTAAACTCTATATTGAATCATTACATTAAAAGTCTAAACTCATGATAAGCTTTTCCCACACTTTCCTTGACATCATTCCCAGCAAAGTACTGTGATCTGAACAGGACTTCTGACCAAATCCGCCAGGTGAGAGTTTCCCATTCTTTACCAGGAAAGGGTAAGAAACATTTTTCAAATCGTGTTACTTCTCGGACACTTCTTGAGAAAGTTATAAACCATTGTGGAGACCTTAAAAGTGACTAGCCTCAAATCAAAAATAAAAGATGAGGTTGATAAAAAAGAAAATAAAGCTGGCATTTGACTGTCAGCCCATAGAGTGATGAAGTGGTTTCTAACTGAATAATGGGGAAACTCAAGTTTCAGTGTGGAGACGTGTGCTCAGCTGCCAAACAGACAGAGAGCAGCCAGCATTTTTTCACCTCTTTGTTGCTAGATCTTGAAACGTATCTTTTCTTTAAGCTTTCCAGCCTTCTCTTTTTTTCCCATTTGTCCTGGAATGACAGCAAGATGGTATTATAAAATGGTGAAGGAGAGGGAGGGAGAAAATGAGAGGACAGAACGGAGAGAGGAAATGGTTGTTAGAAAATGTGTCTGCCAGTATCTGAGCTTGTCGAGGTCTTTTTCTCCTAGCTAGAGGGGGAAATACCATTCTCTTTTCCCAAGCAATTATAGGCCCCAAAGATTGAAACTTGGTATATAGCTCTTTAATCTCAGCAGATATTTATGGTTAAACATTAGACTTTTAGGATTCCAGATGTCAGGGTATTAAAATATAAAGGCACAGTGGAGTCTCAGAAAATATTAGAATCTTTGGGATATGTGATGGCAGGGATTTTTATCCCGAGAAAAGGAGGATGAAGCTTCCAGGGACACTTTGTAAGACCCAAAGAGCCCCTTTCTTCTATCTTACTCTCTCCTTCCTCCATGACTTGTCTGGGGCAGTGAATGGCATCACAAGATTTGATTGCATTTTGACATAATCCACAATGTGAATCGGAAGGATTTTCCTGTGTGATTTGTAAAGTATTGTAGAGAGGCGTTATGATCTATAGGAACAATTTCCCTTTCCTTTCTTCAATCTAAACATCTTATTCCTGTGATGATCTTGTATCTCAGCCCTACCATTACCAGCTAATACTTGTTGAGTATGTTTCTGACTCTCTGCT